CATCCGCACTCATCCCGAGTGACCTTGAATCACGAGACCATGCTTTCTCAAATCCCACGAACCATTTCATACCTCCCAAATGCTACACTACAAGTCAAAACATCATAGAACATTCTGTGCCTCTTCTCATAAGCTGCTACAAAGCTTGATTCTTAACCGTACCTATAGGCTCGCAATCATTAGGCACCACGCTTTGCCCCTTTGAATCCACTAGGACCATTGTTGAGAGCCACCCGCTCTGACTTGGCTTCGAATATAATTGACTCCATGAATCTTCTAGCATATGAATACCCTCTCGACGAAGCACCCGGCAGAATCACTTCCCTTGAAACCCACCTATACAAGGCATAAATCCTGAATCCTTCCCCAAGTCTGAACATGAGCCAATAAGGCCAACCATAGCACACCTTTAACAATTCCTTTGCTCGAATTACTACTTATGTTCTTTCCGAAGCAGAAATGACCCCTCAATATGCTAATAACCACAAACCTCGCAAGTAGTTAACCATGCAACCCAATCATAGGCGGTGGGACTCTCCCACTTAGCTTGAAGCCACTGATACACAATCTCTTGAATTCGCCAGTGTTCTTTGTCTCATATTGACATAACCTTCCGCCATAAACCGCCAACATTCTCGGAAATCTTTCTGTAAAAAACCCTTTTATACTCTGAATCATCAACCACGTTCGCACGACCAATCTCCTTGCTGTATAACCAATAGAATTTCCACAGAAGCTTTGCCAACCATGCAACCGCCGATCCGCTCACTGGAGATAATCCACCTGTAGAATTTACGTGCCGACGCCTTCCAACGCTGCTACACGGGGTGCAATCACCACGACAGTAATGAACCATCCTTCGTCCAAGCTCACCCTCTAGCTGCACAAGCCCATTCACCCCTCGTGGACTTCAATTAAGTGCGCGACAACATCCATTCAACTCAAAGTTAGGTTGTGTCTTCCTTCATGTCAAGCAGCTCCTTTCCGTTATATCGAACCTCCTGCCGCATAATGGCCCATACATTCAAATAAATCCGTAGGCCCAAATCACCAATTACTAAAATTCCCAAGTCACCCCAAACTCCCCCACTTTGGCAAAACTCATCTCTTTAGTCGATGACTCGACCTTTGCTTCTTATGCCTGGCCTTCTAGAAATCTTAACCACTGCCTGACACTCCCCACAGGTCCTTCCTCACCCTTCGCTGCTCAGTTGTTGCCTTAAATAAAATCTATCTTTGTGGCACTTGAGCCCACAATTGCTGCTAACTTTAAACCTTTCCGAAGATCATCTTCCTCGAACCGTCGACATTAGAAACACTGATTCAATCCAAAACTACCGCACCCCACGATACCTGACAGCCGCATCTTCAATACTATTTCATAACACCGGCGAACTTAGTACGTTCAATTTGGAAAATGACACCTTATCATAGAAGAAAATTCCACCACGCTCGCAAATACCAAGTCTCGCTACTCCACCAGCCCACTGAGTAAACCTCCCTTCAAGTCATCCACTGCCCCGACACGTAGGCAAATGTCCTACCATCATATCAATACCGCGGAACACTCGTTCATAGCCTCATGGCAATTTGTGCCTAGCCTCAGAGCTCTTAGAAGCACCGCTACTGAGCCGAAATGACAAAATATCCTTCCACAAGGCGACGATAATAGCTCAGGAAACTATGCAGGGAAAAACACCCCGCACTGCATCGGTAGTACCATTACAATTCTTCAATCCTCGATTCATAACAAGCGGTTCGCGTCGCATAAGATTGAATAGGAAGGAATTAAAGGTGTAGCCTCCAGGGATCAAACCGCACGATGGGGAATCAAGAAGGGAAGTACTCCTAACAGTCCTGCAGCCTCCCGAGGATAAGTACAGACATCTCCGTACCGATCCGCGAGACTCTACTAGACTTGCTCATGACTCGTGAGACCCTAGGAACCTAGTGCTCTGATACCATGTTGTCACGACCCAAAATCCACTAAGGGTCGTGATGGCGCCGGACGCCGCTGTCAGGCAAGCCAACCAAATTACTTAATTTAAATTCTCGTTTTAAATATTTCTGAAATCACTTCTTTTATACGCTTAAACTATACATAGTAAATTCCACTGAATAAGAAATGAAACATTTAACAACTTTTAAAATTCTGAATAAACCCATAGACATACCCAGAACCCGGTGTCATAATTACATGAGCTATTTCAAAGAAACCATACAATACAACATCCGTCCGGAATACAAATTGGACAGAAAGTAAATATAATACACTGAAAGAGACTATACTAGCTGCGGGTCGCCTCGAGGAAATACAGCTCGCTTAGTCTCCGGGTCGCCCGTGCTACTACACCCAATAGGCCAGTAGAAATACCTGTACCTGTGCAACAAAATGCACAACAAGTGTAGCATGAGTACGAAAACAACATGTACTCAGTAAGTATCCCGCCTAATTTCGAAGAAGTAGAGATGAGATGGCAACTTCGACACTTACTAAAGGTCCAATAATAGTATTGTTAATGCGATAACTCATGGGTTTATTAGGAACAACAGTAGGTTCAAATGAATTACTAAACAGGTAATAGTTCCTTTTTAATTAAAAGTCTCCGGATTTATAATCCATTAATTAACAATTATCTCAAGTCGGGGAGAGCAGATAGCAATATCAATAAATCTTAAGGCAAGCAATACAAGCACGCGCAATTCATGCCGAGGTCGTACGGCCCGATCTAACAAAAATGTAAACTGTGCACTGCCGAGGGTCGAGCGGTATGAACCATAGATGCATCTATTACCCCGCTCACGAATCATACATGCGACGCGGTCAAATTTAAATAAACAATCACCCTACTCGCGTACCATACATGCGACGCAGGTACACATAGAAATACATACTCAAACAACAAATTAAGAGTTTATCGGGGAACATTTATCCAAATAAAAGCGAATCCTCTTTTAATGATTTAAGAAAAAGAAGTTTAATCCTCTTAGAAATTCATTTACCAATTCGATAGGATTTAAGAAATTCAATTGTCAATAAGATCACAAATATTCCTAGTATAGCATGCTTTTGGGTCCTAGACTACCCGACTTACACATATTAGTAGCTACGTATGGACTCTCGTCACCTCGTGCGTACGTAGCCCCCAAAAATAGTAGCACATAGCCAATTAATTCACCTATGGGGACAATTTCCTCTTACAAGGTTAGAAAGGAGACTCACCTCGCTCCGGAGATCCATAACTGGCATTCCACGCCCTTCCGAAGACTTGAATCGATGCTAAATACTCCAAAACTAGCAAATGATTATGCAAATTCATTAATATACGATAAGCTACTCATATTAATCCAATTTATAACAATTCCTAACCCCGATCGGAAAGTTGACAAAAATGCCCTCGGGCCCACGTGCCCTGATTTCCAAAATTTTCGAAGAATAAGTTTACCCATAGCCTCACGAACTCAAATATATAATTTCTCTAAATTCGATTCCCAAAATCGTGGTCAAATTCCAAGAATATAAATTTCTAGGTCTATCTACCAAAACCCCAAATTTCTACCAATTTACATGCTAAAATCCATACATAATCGATGTATTTAACTCAAGATGGGTGGGATTAGCTTACCTTATCGTTGATGATGAAAAATCCCACTTGAAGCTCTCCCAAAAATCGCCCAAGCCAAGAAAATATGAGAGAAAATGGCCAAATCCCGATTTTTAAAACACATCTCTCCCTCCAGCACTTTCCGCACCTGCGGTCCCTTTACCGCTTCTGCGGTTCCGTAGGTGCGAGCCAATCCACCGCTTCTGCTCTTCTATTCCCGCAGATGCGGTCCCGCTTCTGCGGCCAAGCGACCGCATCTACGGTCCCAACTCTCTTTTGCCAAATCCCCATCTGCGACTATTGGGCCGCTTCTGCGGCTCCGCACCTGCGGCCCAATTCTCGCAGGTGCGGTTACACCAGCAACCAGTAACTTCAGCCTTCCAAAAATTCCATTTTCGATCCGTTAACCACCCGGAATCCACCCAAGGCCCCCGGGACCCCAACCAATCATACCAACCAGTCCCAAAACACGTTACGGACTTGCTCGAGGCCTCAAATCATATCAAACACGCTAAAACCACGAATCGACCTCCAATCCAAGCTTTATGAACTTTAGAATTTTAAACTTGTACTTTCGATGTTTAAACCTATCAAATCACGTCCGATTGACTTCAAATTTTGCGCACAAGTCACATTCGACATTACAGACCTACTCCAACTTTTGGAATCAGATTCCGACCCCGATATCAAAAAGTCCACCTCCGGTCAAACCTCTCAAAACCTTCAAATTTCTATCCTTAGCCAAATGGCTCCAAAATGCTCCACGGACATCCGAATTCGCTTCCGACCGCGCTCCCAACTTCAAAATCATCATACGGAGCTACTCCCAGACTCAGAATCCCAAACGGACATTGATAACACTGAAATGCACTTCAATCCAAACTTATAAAATTTCTTCCAAAATGCTAACTTCCACAATAGGCGCCAAAACGCTCCCGGCTCATCCAAAACCTGACCCGGACATACGCCTAAGTTCGAAATCATCATATGAACATGCTAGAACCTTCGAATCCTGATTCCGAGGTCGTTTACTCCAAAATCTGATCTTAGCTAATTCTTTCAACTTAAAGCTTCTGAAATGAGAATTTCCTCTCCAAGTCAACTCCGAACTTCCTGAAATTTAATTCCGACCACGCGTACAAGTCAAAATGCCGGAATTGAAGCTGCTCATGGCCTCGAACTGCTGAACGGCGCGCTAGGGCTCAAAACGACCGGTCGGGTCGTTACATAATTTGTTTAAGAACATCTAAAATATAACCAGCAGATGAACAAGGATATGAACTATTTGTTTTTTGGTGTAAAGAAAAAATATTATTAATCTCCAACCAAACCAGAATTACATTCAATCAACTGTACAAACTAGAAGAAATCCTTCTAGTCGCAAAATTCTCCTATCTATCCTTTCCTATCTTCCGTGCTATACAGATTCTCTATCCATTCCCTACTACTTCTCCCTTCTTTCCTAATGTTTTGCATGTTCAATCTAATCTTACATTCTTGTTGGATCTGTTTACATACCATCACTGGACTTGGTACTTTGCCATTCCATATTGAATCATTTCTAGCTTGCCATATTTTGTATACTAGAGTTGCCACAACTGCCGTAATCAGTTTCCTGCACATTGTCCCTTTTACATTTCTTGTTAGTCTTTGCCATATTCCATCAATGCCTAATACATTTGCCCTCAGTCCAAGCCATTCCTTCAGAATTTTCAAGCATTCCTCCGAGAAATGGCACTCAAAGAATAGATGTTGTATTGTTTCTATACATCCTCCACACATTTCACATCTTGTTTCTGTACACACTCCAAGTTTCTCCAATCTTTCCCTTGTCAATAATCTTTTATGCATTGCCAACCTGTTTATAAAACTATGTTTTGGAACATTAACTGAATTCCAAATCCATCTAGCCCAAGGCCAGTCGTTCATTTCCCCTTTCCTCCATATGTATCCTTTTTGTATAGAATACTTTCCTCCTACTTGTTGCCATTCATCCCCCATACATTTACCCTTAAATTTTTTCCTTTATACTGCATGTTCTCTTCCAGTACCAACTACAATCAGTTGGTGGTTTATATTATTTCCAGCAAGCCCCTTTAATGTATATGTGATCCATCCACTTCACCCATAAATTATCTGCTTTATGAGTTATATTCCACACATACTTCGCAATTGCTGCCTCATTCCAAACCATGCAGTCTATTATCCCTAATCCTCCTTTGTGCTTTGGTCGACACACAATATCTCAAGCAATCAATGGGGCTTTGTTTGTCTGTCCCCTCCCATCCCATAGAAAATTTCTTCATATTGCAGTAAGTCTCCTCAACACAGCCTTAGGAAGGATGAAGATTGACAACCAATATGTATGTACCTTGAGTAGCACTGAATTTATTAGATAAACTCTACCAACATAAGAGAGGTTTCTGGAGCTCCATGCCTTTATTCTAGCAGTCATTTTATCAACTAGAACTTCATAGATTGGTACTCCCAAGTATCTAATGTTGACACCCAATTTTTTCCTATATATTTTCAATATGAAAAATAGCTTCAAAATGATATATATATGCATATATGCATATATGCAAGTGCTTCATTACTTTTTCTTAATTTTAAAAGATTTTTCAATCTATTTATTCTCCTATTTTTATCCATAAAATTCAGTAATTGTTTCCAAAATTATTAATTTTTGGTGATTCACTGATTGCACTTTATCTATACTAAAATATTGCCAAGGAAATTTTTGTATATTTTTACAAATTTATTTAGTATTTTTAAAAGCTAAATTGCATATAATTGCAATATTGGCCTCTTTTAAGATTTAACTGCATTTATGTTCATAAAATTAGGTCTGGTATTTTAAGTAATTAATTATGTATTATAAATCATTTTATTACCATCAATTTATTTCCAGAAATTATTTTATTATTTTTTATAAATCAAATAGGAAAATTGGCTATTTAAACGTTAGCCACATTTTTATTTCGTGGACCCCAATTTGAATCCCAATAACCCTGGCCCAATTCCTATTAAACCCCGACCCAAACCCATCTCCGTAACGCGTACCCGGAGCCCCACCTGATACCAGCCTGTGACGACCCGACCCGTCGTCTCATGTGTCACTGCTTCGTTTCCCTCATTTTATGCTTCTTCATGTTTCGTTATCGGTATGTGGTGTGTTGGAGTTGATTTGGACTGGTTTTGATAAGAAATGAGACACTTAGTCTCTTTAAGGAAGACTTAAGTTGGAAAACGGTCGGTCGTTACATAATTTGTTTAAGAACATCTAAAATATAACCAGCAGATGAACAAGGATATGAACTATTTGTTTTTTTGGTGTAAAGAAAAAATATTATAATCTCCAACCAAACCAGAATTACATTCAATCAACTGTACAAACTAGAAGAAATCCTTCTAGTCGCAAAATTCTCTATCTATCCTTTCCTATCTTCCGTGCTATACAGATTCTCTATCCATTCCCTACTACTTCTCCCTTCTTTCCTAATGTTTTGCATGTTCAATCTAATCTTACATTCTTGTTGGATCTGTTTACATACCATCACTGGACTTGGTACTTTGCCATTCCATATTGAATCATTTCTAGCTTGCCATATTTTGTATACTAGAGTTGCCACAACTGCCGTAATCAGTTTCCTGCACATTGTCCCTTTTACATTTCTTGTTAGTCTTTGCCATATTCCATCAATGCCTAATACATTTGCCCTCAGTCCAAGCCATTCCTTCAGAATTTTCAAGCATTCCTCCGAGAAATGGCACTCAAAAGAATAGATGTTGTATTGTTTCTATACATCCTCACACATTTTCACATCTTGTTTCTGTACACACTCCAAGTTTCTCCAATCTTTCCCTTGTCAATAATCTTTTATGCATTGCCAACCTGTTTATAAAACTATGTTTTGGAACATTAACTGAATTCCAAATCCATCTAGCCCAAGGCCAGTCGTTCATTTCCCCTTTCCTCCATATGTATCCTTTTTGTATAGAATACTTTCCTCCTACTTGTTGCCATTCATCCCCCATACATTTACCTTAAATTTTTTCCTTATACTGCATGTTCTCTTCCAGTACCAACTACAATCAGTTGGTGGTTTATATTATTTCCAGCAAGCCCCTTTAATGTATATGTGATCCATCCACTTCACCCATAAATTATCTGCTTTATGAGTTATATTCCACACATACTTCGCAATTGCTGCCTCATTCCAAACCATGCAGTCTATTATCCATATATCCTCTTGTGCTTTACACACAATATTCAAGCAATCAATGGGGCTTTGTTTGTCTGTCCCCTCCCATCCCATAGAAAATTTCTTCATATTGCAGTAAGTCTCCTCAACACAGCCTTAGAAGGATGAAGATTGACAACCAATATGTATGTACCTTAGTAGCACTGAATTTATTAGATAAACTCTACCAACATAAAGAGATTTTTGGAGCTCCATGCCTTTATTCTAGCAGTCATTTTATCAACTAGAACTTCATAGATTGGTACTCCCAAGTATCTAATGTTGAACCCAATTTTTTCCTATATATATTTCAATATGAAAAATAGCTTCAAAATGATATATATATATATATATATATATATATATATATATATATATATATATATATATATATATATATATATATATATATATATATATATATATATGTACATATGCATATATGCAAGTGCTTCATTACTTTTCCTTAATTTTAAGATTTTTAAATCTATTCATTCTCTTATTTTTATCCATAAAATTCAGTAATTGTTTCCAAAATTGTCATTTTTTGGTGATTCCCTTATTGCACTTTTATATCTATACAAAATATAGCCAAGGGAATTTTGGCATATTTTTACAAATTTATTTAGTATTTTTAAAGGTAACTTGCATATAATTGCAATATTAGTCTCTTTTAAGAATTAATTGCCTTTTTGTTCACAAAATTAAGTCTGGTATTTTTAAATAATTAATTATGTGTTATAAATTATTTTAGTACCTTTAACTTATTTATAGAAATTATTTTAATATTTTTTATAAATCAAATAGGAAAAATTGGTTGTTTAAATGTTAGCCCCATTTTATTTCAATTATAGCCTGATTTTGAACCCCAATTGAACCCAATTTGAAGCCCAATTACTCCGACCCAATTGCAATCTGAACCGACCCAAACCCTATTCTATTAAACCGCACCACTTACCCGTCCAATCCAGGCCGTTGATCGAACATCAGACCCCCTTACCTTAATTAATCCCAAACGACCCCCTAAACCCTATGATTCCTCACAACACGCCACCTCTGAATCCCCCTCCTCTCTCAAATCCTCTCTACACCACCCTCAAACCCTAGCCGCCACCACCCTAATCCGCCCTAATCCATGGCCTTCCAAGGTCATCGGAGACGTGTATCAGCCTCCCATGGCTTCTACGTGTTCGTTTCTGTGGTCTCATGACCAGATCATGAAGGAGTTTGGTCCAGACTTTGCTCGATGACTGTTCTCCGATCGTCTCTGACTCCGGCCGGCCATGGCCATTCGAGTCAGACCTTTGACTCTCCTGCTTAGATCAATGGCTTTCAAGGCCTTTCTCGTGACTTGGGGTTCTACTATAACCCTAATCTCTAAGGTTCTTTCGATTTCTTTCAGATCTGCTTCAAATCTTTGTTTGCTTTGAATCTA